TACATTATTTGTGTTGTAATACATATATACCCTTTTTGATTTAATATCAATTTTAATGATTTAATACCAGTTTTAATAATTAATGACTAAATTTTTCATTATAATTGCATTTGTGACTTTTTTTTTTTGTCACTCAATTGTAACATTTGTGATGAAAATTGTTGTAACAAAAAATATTTTTTGTGATGAGTAAATTTGTTACAAATAATTCATTAATAATGTAGATTTTTTTCGTCACTATAAAATTCTTTTTTATAACAGGTGTCAAATTCATCACTAAGAATATTAGTAACGAGTGTCTTACTAATAATTTAAATTTCATCACTAATTTTAATTTGTGACAAAAAATAAAGGTTTAGTGACTAATAATTTAGCACTAAATATGGATTTTCTAGTAGTGTCAATCTCAATAAAGTTCTTCGAATTGATGCCACCAAATTAAATGATTTAATGGTAATCTCATCTGAAAAAGAGCTCTTGGGTTTAAGCCACACAATAACATATAGGTGGAATTAGTTAAGTAAAGTAAGATAGTTATTTTTCATTATACAATTCAAAATCAATAAATAAAATAATAAATAAATAAAACCCTCTAAACTCATTCCTCACCAACACTGTTCTTCCTTAGTTTCTTTGCTTTCGAATAAATTGTGTCAAAGATTTTGTGCTTACGGGGTTCTTAAATTGGAAGAGTGCAAAGGGCACAAGGCAAAGAGAGATGAAGTGGAGGGTTGCCTACTTGATAGAATCTTGATGGTGAATTTTGGGTAGAAAGATATCCCCATCAATTCTGCTTGTCTTTCATGCTTTTATTCCAAGCTTGAGTCATTTCATTCCCATGCACTGCCAACAAAGGCCACGCCTCTCCATCTTTTACTGCTCCTTTATTAGAACCCCAACAATTTCCTCCACAGGAAAAAAAATTAAACCAACAAAACATTCTCTTAACAATGGCATCAGAATTTGTTGATTGACCTTTCTTTGAAAAGTCCCTTGAATTTTCCTCTGTTTTCTCGAGAAAGAAAGAGAGAGAAAGGAAGAACAAGACCATGTTTGATGGGCTGGAAAGAAAAGCAGCTTTTCACGAAGAGATCACGGCAGTCCTTTTTTAAAAGGTTTTTTTATTATATACTTTAAGGATATACTTATTGTATATTTTTATAATTAATTCATATAAAAATTATAAATGTTAAATTAAATTAAATTAATTAATTAAAATTATTTATACAACAATAATATAAAAATAAATATTAATTTTTATAATTTTTTAAATAAATTAATTTAAAAATATATATTTATTACACTCTTAAAAACAAAAATTATATAATCCCTTTTTAAAACCACTTAAATTAACTGCTCTTTTCGAAGTGTTAAGAAATTAAAATTTAAAAAATGAGACTCTAAATTAAGAAGGATATTTTACAAAATGAGAGATCGTACCAGTTGCAGGGAGGGTGGGGGGCACATGCTCTGAGCAGAGAATGTCCTCCAAGCCCACGTCGCTTTGTTTCGATTCTCGGGTTTATGTGGGGAAACACCATCATGCATGCCAAAGTATCATTTATTTGTTTATAATTGTCTCTTAATTATACTCCTATTTCTATGTAACTTAGTCCAATGTGCCTTTTCTTATTTATTCCGAGGCAATCTCATTATCATCATGCCTTAGCCACTTCCCATTTCCATGCCCCTCCTCTCGTTTTCAGGCAAATTGGCATGCAAAATTTTAAAGGGGTTACCTAACCTGTGTGAAGGTTAAACTTCATTAATTAAGATATTTGTAATTAATTTGTGTAAATTTTCATATTAAATTTATATTCTTTTAATAGATTTTAATTATAAATATTTTATTTTATTTTAATTAAATTTAATATGAAAATTTATATAGAATTAATTATAAATACCACAATTATTGAGGTTTAAGGGCATAATCTTTTTTTTTACCATAAAGACACGTTAGAAAATCTCATTTTTTGAAAGGTACTTTTTGCACGGAAAATTTTAAGTTAATAAACACTAGGAATTGTATAAAATAGAAAATTTTAACAATTAAAATATCAAAAACAATAAAAAAAACTTAAATATTTTTAATAAATCAGCATGCACTGAAAATCAATTAAGAATTTGAATAATTTCAAAAATAATTTTAATATTTTAAATACCAATATATCTTGATTTTTACTTTTCTACTAAACTTTATTGTTCCCAAATTCTCCTTTAATCGCACTATATATGAATCGATTGGAATGTAATGGTCAACATAATCATACAAGCTAATTAGCAAGTTGATTTCTTAACTATCTTGTTGAACAATGGTTGCGTCCCTTGAAAGGCTAGGAATATATAGTCTACGTATTGTAGGGGAAAATTAGACTAGAACAGTTGGCCTTAAAAGAAAGAAAGAAAGGAAAAAAGAAAAAAAAGAACTTAATTTGTTATTCATAGTTTTACATATACAGTATTTTTAAAATTTTGAGTTCAATAGCTTATTATTTTGGAACCCGAAACTATCACATAAAGTCTGATTTCAGTTTTAAAAGCTATCTCATTAGTCCAAAGTCAATTCCAGACTAGGTCCAGCATCAACTATTTTTTATATATATAAAAATTCAAAATTTTCATTAATAAAATAAAAAAAAAGATTACATAAAAGTTTTAATGAAGACTAGTAACTGATAACTTTGCCTATAAACAATTAAATACATAGAGTGATCAATTAACAGAGGTTACATAAAGTAATTGTTATGGGGGGAGCATATAAACCAAATAGGACCACTTGATTGTGTCCAAAGCTTATGAGAAGCTTCATCTGGTACTTGTGCTTGGAGCAAAAAGATTAGTCAAGTCAAGAACCCCACAATGACCATGTGATTAACAGCCAAAACGAGTGCTGCAACCTAACTCAGCCCAGCCATCCGTACATATGTGCTGTCTTCCTCCTTCTCCATCGGCAAATCTTAATGAAAATACATTAGGTGGACACCCCCAAAAGAACGAGAAACTCAAGGGAGAAAGGAACCCAAATGGAGAGAATCTCTCCTTTATTCATGCTCCTTAACCAACAAGGAGATATATAGTAGTGGTTAGAGGCAAAGAGAGTAAAAAGATGGAGGCAGCCAAGGGAGAGGGAGAGATGTGCAGCTAGGGTCTAAGAGCATATACATTTTTTAGGAGAAATAGAATTTTATTGATATATGAAAACTATAAGTGTTATAGAACCAATTCAAATGGAGTAAAATGCCAAAGGTATTACACTTATAAAATGTGTGAAAAAGTAAAATCAGATAATTTAATGTCTATATGAATATTGCATCTACACCTAAACTTAAGACTTAGCAATTAAACTGTATTTCAACAAAATCCATCTAAACATAAGATAAATTGATATGTGCAGAAAAATTTAGCTAGGGACTGCATCCCCAACCATGCGTTCAATAGTTGAAGTAAACATGACAAGTGATTTGAATCTAACCAATATCGTGTTCAAGTTGTCTTCTCTTTTAAGTAAAAGTGAATTGAGATAAAAGTATCAAGAAAATTAAAATAGATATATTTAAAAAAATGAAGAAATTAAAAAAAAAAAAAAAAAAGAAAAAAAAAAAAAGAAA